ACTTCCACCTCTCTCGAGGGTATACTCCAACTATTCTCAAGATAATGCAAATCAGTTTCAGAGTTAGTCAAAGTTCCTAAACATTTTCTCTCATGCAAGTGTCTCTCATCATTCCAAAATCCGTTTCGTTTAACCACATCTCTATATTTGCAAATCATAGGCTCATATATATAAGTGTCAGGCAAATGAACTCGATCTAAGAGAACCATCCAAGGTGCACAACATACTACATAATATGTGTACTAAAATATCTCACAGTAAGACCATCATTCTAGCCACTACCTGAAAATCACTAGTCGACATGTTAGTTCTTCCCAACAATAATAAGATTTTGATTGAGTTAGCATGCTAGCCACTGCCTGAAAAGCTCTGGGCAGTAATGTTGTTCACGTAACAAAATTGTCATAATGCAGAATGGCTCATTGACCGTTAATGTTCTAATTAATATATAATGTTAAGAATGTAACAAATATTTGGATGGATCATTATAGTAAATGGTTTGATCCAAAGCTTAATTATGTTTGCTCTATTTCAGATACTCCTTACATACTTCTAACTTGCTGCATCAACATACATAACAAGAATTTCTTTGAATATAGTAAATGGTTTGATCCAAAGCTAAATTATGTTTGCTCTAGTTCAGATACTCCTTACATACTTCTAAAGTTCTAACTTGCTGCATCAACATACACAACAAGAATTTCTTTGACTAATACCCCAATTAATATTGACTCCTCATAGTAATACCCACATTTCATCATTTAAAAAATTTTGTTTAGTAAAGAATGATAAAAAAATAAAAAAACTACTATTAGAGGATATGGACATTAGAAAATACTAAGCAATTACTTTCACACCACATTTAATAACCAATACATAACCAACTATCATTAACAAAACATGGTGTGTCCTAATAACACGAACCTTGAACGAGTTTGTTGGCCGCACTCCGGTACTCCTCCCTCAACACTTCCACAACTGGTCTTGGACTAATAACTGGCCACCAACCCGGCAACTTCCGCTGCGGCTCCTTCCGTATCGGATTCCTCGACATTCCCTCCGAACCCCATTCATTCAACTCAAGATCACTCTTTCTGTCAACCCCCTCCACAACTCTCTTCTCAACCACCACTTCTCTCCCACCCAAACTCCTATCCCTCCTCGTAACAACCTCCACCTTAATATCCCCACTCCTCCGCCGCAACCCCAACCCTAAATTAACCAAAACCCTAACAAAAACAACACTAACAAAACTCCAAAGCACAACACCACCTACGAATCGAACAGTCGACTCAGAACACGACACAACAATTCGATTACTCCCAGGTTCAACAACCACAAGACTACGTAAATCGTTATAAGCATCAATCCCAGAAGACACAAATTGATGAAACTTAGATTCACACAAATTAATTGTTCTTTGAAGAGAGAGAGGTGTTTTGGATTTCAATTGATCAACATCAAGTACAAATTGAAGTTTACCAGAATCAGAAGATGAAGACTGGGATTGAGAAGGGTTGTTTCGCTTGTTAGGGTTCCGGCGAGTGGAGCGCCGGCGCCGGCGACGAGAAGAGAAGGAGCAAGAAATTGGGATGACGGAGGTTTTGGGTTGCCATTGATGATGTAGTTGAGGTTGGAATATGGAGTATGGGAGTGAGAGGTAGAGGTTGGGGTAATGGCGGAGTGAGGTTGCGGAGTTTGCCGCCATTGGAGGTGGAGGAGAGAGAGTGCGAAGGTTGGTTGGTTGTTGCAGTGGAGCGGGAAAGAGGTTAAAGGGAATGAAATGTGATTGAATTGAGGGTGTAGTCTTACCCAAATACTACGTATGTGGTTATTTGGCTGGATACGATACGACTTGTACGAGGGCTAGTGGTCGTGTCACTCGTAGGGTTGTATATTGGACCAACCCAGACCGGACTGAAAATTTAAATTTCAATAATCGAAGATCTGACTAATTAAGCAGAGACCGAACTCGGACCGGACCGAAAAAATTGGTGCAAAATCAGAACCGGACCAATTTAGACCGATTTTATAATTTTTTAATAAAAAGTTCTAAATTTTCAATAATTTTATGAAAAACTCGAAAAAAATAGAGGGAAACAATATTTTAACGTGTTTTTATGTATGTTTAGTACGGATTACTAAAAACTTAAACAATTAAAGTTTTCTAAGCTTATTAAGAAAAATCTTAATCATTAAATAAGGTTTTATGCATAATTTTAAGCAAAAAATTGGTCAAATCTAAGACCGGTTTTTATAGGGTTTTGGACCGGACCAGACCGAAGACCGGTAAAAATAAATTTCTCAACCTAGAGGTCAGATCGGTTAATTTGGTCCGGTCCGGTATGAGATCGGTCTGGTCAAATTCGGTCTATTTTTTCGATCCAGACTGATTTTTGAACACCCCTAGTCACTCATGTGGATTATTGGCTTGGACTCGGCAATTCAGTTAGGGGTTGTTGCGCATAATGAACTCAAGTTTGAGAATTTCTAAGATTCTAATGGTTATATGACTCTAATGGTTATATGACTCTAATAAGGCAACTTGGCATTAAATAAAAGGAAAATTGAAAAGGAAAAGCAAAAATAAATATTGGGGAAAAGGATAGCCCATTATTTATGAAGTGAAAAACAAAAAACGATTTCTCAAAATAGAAATTCCCAACAACATTAAAGTCCCTTTTCTCATTTCCTCTAAATCCACCCAAAACCACTTATCCATGAAAACCACTCTAAAAACTATGTAATACCACCCATTATAACCGCCCCTAAAAAACAGGGGTCAAACTCTACGAAAGAAAAAACAGTATCAAAACTTAATCAGCCCATTAAACGCAGCGTTTGCTAATTTTTCCCATCAAAACTTGTCATTCTCTTTAATTTGTTAGTAGTGTTACTTCTATAAAACTTGTAATTTTTTATTCGTAATTACATTTAATATGTTTCTTCTACTCATATTTGATAAGGTACACATGTTGAGGACATTTGAGGAAATGCTGAAGAAAGAGATGAATTTGCAAGAATTACTTCTTTGAGAAATCGATTTTTGTTGTTGATTGTGAGCCAAGCTGTCCTTTTCTCCACTACTTCTTATGCTTTTTCTTTTTTTATTTCCTTTTTATTTTATTAAAAGTAGCTTTTTGTGGGTTTACTTTTTTGCCTTTACTAGAGTCTTATAGGACTTTGATAATTAGAGTCCAAGAAATCCTCCTCAAGTTTAGAGTAAATGTCGAGTCTTTGAATAGTGACAACATGCTATATATGAACTTACATTTAACTCATATTTTGCCTTTTTAAGTTTTGGTTGAATGGAATAAATGAGAAAAAAAGGTGATGGGACCTAAAATGATATTGTGAGAGTAAAGTTGTGGTCTCCATTAACATATATGATATGGTGCAATCTTTATGAGACACCCTTTTAAGAAAAGCGGGGCAAACAAATAGAGACAGAAAAGAGTAATTAATTAATGTCTTTTTAATCATTGAGGATGCCCCGGTCAATATCTTTAATAAACAAAAATTCTTTATCATGTAGCAAAATCATAAATATCTTAGATGTGGAAATATTTGTTAGATTATGTGATTTGACACTTTCTTTAAATAGTATGGGAATTTGTCAAGCAATTGATTTGCAACATTTTGCAAATGAACATTTTTCTTTATTCACACAAATTTATTTGTGAATGCAAATTTACAAATTATAATTGTATTGAAATCCATGAGATATCAATCATTTTTTTTTTTTTTTTGCTACTTTCTCTCCCCTAAAGGCTAGAAATTATGACTCTTGAAAATGATGATGTCAATTATAAACAAATTAACCATCATTGGCTCAAGATGTTTGATTATGAAGGGAGATTCATGTTGAGCTATGGGTCCCTTTCTATATGGAAAAGCCCATTTGATGTAATAATTGTTTTGGGCCAAGTAATATAGCTTACTCCCAAATGTAAAGCTTTCTCAAAGAAACTTCTCTTTCGTTGACTTTTGGTGTGTCTTTATCGTGTAAATTGTGTGGGCAACAAAAGTCTTTTGAATTACTTACTTGCTTGTTGGGTGGACTCCTTGATCAGTACTTGCTAGACAGAACCCTATTTTTGGCAACATTTTCTCAATTTCTTCCTTCAAAGTTTAGCTTTTATGATTGTTGTTGTTGGGTAAATTGAGTACTTACTTTTGAGACTTGGAATTGTGTTTGTATAACATTCCTTGATCATAATAAGAGCAATTGGGTGGACTCCCTAATCGTCCCGTGGTTTTTACTCTTCTCTTTAAAGGGGTTTTCCATGTAAACATCATGTGTTCCTTGCTTGGTTGATTGTGCTCATTCTTTGCTATATGTTGCTCCGTTTTGTGTGTTGATATTGCTGGTGTATAGTTGTTCTTGGAGAATATATCATATTGCTAGTGTTGGTGTTGCATTGAACAAACTAGTAGTAAACTTGCTTATTGTGGTTTTTTTTTGTTTCTTGATTGTTCCGCAAGAGGTGTGTTTACCTCAACAATTCCAACCCAAAATAAATTCTCAACCTTCTTTGTCGACCTTTTAATTTATGGTATAGAGAATCTCTATGGGATGAATTCATTGAGCTGCAAATTACGGTGCTTCTCCTCACAATCTCACATGACCAACATGGCTCATTGCTTTGCTCCAAGCTTATTGCAACCCCATAAACAGAAAATTTGTCTCTGCAGCTCTGCCTGTCGAAATTGACTTGCTTTCTTGTAACTTAATGATAATTTTTTGGCACATATACAACTCAAGTTCAACTTGAAACTCCATAAAAACTCTTCGCGTTTAGTAAGTTGTGTTCAACTCATATAACAGTATAACACCAACCATTACTGGGGTACATCAAGACATCAAGTTCTCCAGAAAATTTATAAGGCGTGCATAGCCTACTTTTCACATATTAGGAATGATTAGTTGAATAATCCCAGCAAAAATCAGTAACCTAGGGCTCTGATCTTCTGAGCAGCATCCTAGAAAATTTCCAACATCATTGATCAGGCTATATGAATGGAAGAGTATTTGAAAATGAACAAAGTTCACAATTATGTGCATTGCGATTAAATGCCTTGACATTGCCCAGATTGCTGAGCAATGCTGGAAGCAATTCAATACCCAAGTATGCAGGGCAGAATCAACCTAATACTATACAAGCATTGACCAAGAAAGAAATTGGCAGACAAAAAACACATCATCAATGCTAATACAAAATATAGTGGTGTACATATTAAGATGATGAGCACTTGCTTTTTTTCAACAAAATGCCGCATCTGAAAAGGACTTTGACCAGCATAGCCATGTAGTATAATTAGTCCTTGACTCCTTGGTTTGTCACTCCCAATGCTTGCCATGCTACCACCAGCGGTAAGCATCTCAGGGTGCAAGCTTGAAGCACCTCATTTTTGCTATCTGGTAAGGGCTTCAATGATGGCAAACACCAAGGTCACAATCCTTTAGAGGGAAAGGAGAGCAGGGGTGAGTAAGACAGCAGCAGAGAGACTGAGAGATGGAAATTGATCAAGCATGGACAACTGAACCATTCAGTGACCAGGATGATCTGCAAGGAATGTTGTTAATTCTGTTTTTTCGAAGAGAGTACGGATCAATTCCTGCCTTGTGAGCTGCAACAACTCCTATAGCTTCCCAGTAGCTTGAAACATTCACCTGCAGAGAACCCATGAGTCAGTAAAACTGAAGTATAGTTGGTGGATAAAAAAAAAAATTTAAAAAAAATAAAATAAATGGCAAACATAGTAAAATGATACAGTACTAGAACTCAGGTAGTTAAAGAAAGGGAGAGTTCTATTGATGAGAATGTGAGAATAGAAAAAGATTTAGAGGTACTTGTATGTACACTGGCAGATTGTCAAAGCACTATCATTCCTAATTCTAAACTGGCAGATTCAAAGCACTGAAGCAATCTCATTTATAACAAGTACAAAGCACTGAAGCAATCTCATTTATAACAAGTACTTTTCTTGTAATAAACAAAGTTTAAAATTTTCAGCTGTTTAAAAGCATAATAATTTTATATCAGAATTATATGAAAGGTTCTACTAAAAGTACCTTGAAGTGGAAAGAATGAAAGATAAATGAAGCATAATGATTTGCAAATAATGAACTGCATAGTGCATACCGTTTCAATTTGAAGACTGTCAGGTGTGTCGCTGAGAACAGTTGTATTCTCTTCGACAGCAACTATTAGAGGCTGCATAAAGTCATAGTCAGAAAATCACACACAAAATATCAAATCAATTATTTCTAAAATGACAAGCAGTTAATTTCAACAGAAATATGGCAATAACTCAGTGGTACTCCACAAGTAATGAAAGATCCTTGTATATGGGTGAGAATGAAAAACATAATCTCGTTCAGTGCATGCCTTGTTTCTTTTCTTTCTTGCAAAAGAAAGAACACCACTTCCGGCACAAGCATCTATGGGAAGGATGACGCTATCAACATCATTTGCAAAAATGCAGCCTTTCTCCATTACATCTGAGCCAGTAACCACATACTGTGGAGCATTACTAAGCCCGGCGAGCACACATGGCAAGAATGTGTATCCAATCTGTTAAACAGGAAACCAAAGATAGAAGTTCATCAAAAAAATCATGAAGGGCAATAAAATTAAATAAAAATAAGTTGCAGTGCCAACACCATAAAAAAAGTTGGACATAAGAGACATGAATGAAATCTGTTGGATCCATATGCGACTAAAAGGACTGTAAACTTGGAGAAAATCAATCACCTCTTCAGCAGCTGATTTGGGAGAAAGTGATTGGTTTAATGGAACAGGTAGTAGAGCTGGAGCATGTGCGCAAGGAATTTGAAATTCTTTCACAACTAGATGACTTATAATAGCCTCTACTCCGGCCAAGGTATCAACTCCCTGCACAATTCAGAGAGGCTAATTAGCTATCTCAAAGGACTTCTCTGCACATATTGAGATACAAGTTTAAATTCTCTGTGGATGCACATACTATACCTTAATCCATTTAGCAGAGTTAAAAGGATCGCAAATATTTAACTTTTGTGCTTAAGATTATTGTAGAGGAAATTGTCAGATAAATGTCTTTTGTACTGTTCATTTTCTAATCAACAGTCTATCCTCTTTACAGTCAATCAAAGACTTCAAACATGATCGATTCCCCAAATGCACAACAAGTCAACATCAAGAACCCCGTATGTGAGGTACAGCAATAGCAGTATTTTGATGATACATGGTAGGTAGCCTTAGATGTAATTAAATTTATTTATAAAATTAATCGCAAACAAGGACTTAGATGCAGGACCATACAATTCCTTGACGATAATCATGCATGCTGTCTTCATCTTCATCAGGAAAGCGGCCAACAACAGCAACAGCGTTCACTTGTGATCGATCTACCAAACTCCGTACAGCTCGTAGCAGTGAGTCAGGATGCTTTACCCTCCCAGTTGACTGCCCAGTCTTTGGATCAATCCACTTTTCTACCTATATAACAAACAGTTTAAACTCTAGCAGATAAAAGGATCATGGTACATGGTAGGAAAATTTGCCACATGTCATTTCTAACTAAATAGAGTTTATCAAAACAAAGCATGTGCCTCATAGATTGTTCATAACAGATAGAAAGAGAGACAAAATAGCTCTGTTTGCAGGAAATAGCTTAATGAAATAATGACTCCCCCCTTTTCATGTCTTTATTTTATTCACAAATAACAATGTAAGTCACTATCTAAAATCAATATATTTCTTTCCTCTATCTATAGTCTTTAATGTAGATTTAACATAATGATGTAATAGTCAATTGCTCCTTTTCTAATTTAAGTACTAAATTGATGCCCTAAAATCTTAGTTATCCTCTATTGTGAAATGGGGAGTAATATTTCTCACAAGGAACTTCAATTTTAATTTTAAGGTGATTTGGGAGATAAGGAAGATGAACAAAGGATTAAGAACACTAGCGAGGAATGTTCTTAAACTAGATAACTTGATAAAAGGACAATAGTTGTGAGGATAATATTTCAGACAATCAGACTGTATACAACTTTAGCTGTTTGCTTATGTGACATGTCAATATCATTGCATGTCAGTGTGTCTGACAATACCTGATGTTTCACAAACCATGTGAAAGATCCCAATAAACAATCTCTACAAAAAAACTGTATACCACACTTACCACCTTAATAAAGAACAAGACAAGATGAAACTATGGATAATACAATGAGCTACTATAGGGAAATTGGCAAATCAAGAGAAGAAAAGCGAAAGACAAGTATAAGGAAAAAGTCTTAACCCACTCCATCATGCCAATTATACCTTTTCTCACCATATCCACATTTCTGTTCCCACTCATTGAATTTTCTTGTTTAAGGCACAGTTCTTACAAACAATTCAACCCATTTCACATTCTTTGTAGATTATCATACCTCAAGAGGCTTGTCTGTGACAACGTATTCTAGAACAGGCAATCCAAGGGAAGCTCTTGCAGCATCAGCAACTTGCAAATGGCGCATACGGAGCTCCATTTCTATGCCAGCATCCAAAACTAGTCCAACCTGATTACGTCCAAAAAAGTAGCATGAATTAAAAATGTTGCAATAGAAGCTATTTATGAAGTGAGCACAGGAACTTTGCTATTGTACTGTAGAAAAGTATTAGAGCGTCAGTGCTTAGAAAAACCAAAGGTGATAGGTATTAGATGCACACCTTATTTTGGTGAACTGGCTCAAGCGCCCATAAGCCTTCAGCAAACTGGTCCAGAGCATAACCTTCCACATATAATATATTTGGAACGGGCCAGTAAAGCATGGCTGCATTTAGAACCTGTAGACATATATCAAATTTCTTGGAGCAGAGTCTATCACATCATCCATTATACTAAAACCGGCCAGTCGGCCACCACCCCCACATAAATTATTAATTACGCACATTGATTCCATTTGCATTGTCAAATTCCAAATTCCAAAAGATGATAAGTTTTACTTTGAATTAACTTGTTAGTGCATGTTAAGACTTTCTTTGATGGAATAATCTCCAATGCAATAAAGGCATAGTTCCGCTTCTTTTTATCTTCTTTTGCTTCAGATTAGTATTTTTTTATATTGGACCATATACGACATACAGATCAATGGAAAGGGCTCAATAGCTAAATAGCCAAGGGTGACCGATGAATGTAATGAAATAAACAACCTTATATGATACTCCATATAACATAATTTGGCCTTCTCAATTCATAACTTCACCAAAATTCAGGTATTTCAACCATTTCAACTCATAATTAGGGTGTATTCTATTCACTTGATTTTCACTTATGAACTAATTAAAACCTATTTTAGTTGTAATTTGTACTTGGATAACCCTTATCAAAACTTATATTTCTTAAATTAAACTTATTTGAACTTAATTAAACTTAATACACCTGAAATAAATGAAAATAAGGTGAACAAAAGGCTCTTACTTACAGTGCTTAAATCATGACTAAGATAACACTAAACATGCAAGTTGAGTCGGGTTGGGTTGGGTTGGGTTGGGGTTGTAAACTACGGGTCGAATCATTTATAGGTTGATAACTTTCCAAATTTCTAGGTATATTATGTTATCACTAACCCCAAAATCACATCAACATACTACCCATGTCTAATTCTATGTAATGCCAAATTTCACAATCTATCCTAAAATAAAACACATCATATTATCCCTAACTAGACAAAGATGATAATATAACCGAAAACTCGAAAGATAGAATTATTACATTAGGATGAGAGATGAGGCAATCAACAACAGACGCAAGCGCACGCGCCACCGGTAAAGCATCACCGGCGTAACCACCAATGGCAGCTCCGACTCCCGTTGGCACAATCATCACACTCGTATATGGCCGCTTAAACTATATTCATACAGACAAAATTTTCAAATTAATCAAATGCATAACAACATTATATACTAAGAAAATAATCAATAAACATTGAAATTATACTTATAATTTAAGTATAATAACAACATTATAGTGAAGAAGCTGACCTTGTTGGGTGGGATGTAAGAATTGGAGCAGGTTAATGCATTTGGAAGTTTTAAAAATGGTGATTTTTGGGGTTTGAACAAGGTTGGAAATTGGGTGGTGGAAGAAGAAGGAAAGGTGAGACTGGGTTTTAGAATAAGCGCCATTTTTGTTTTTCTTTCTTTTCTTGATTGTGTTCAAAGGTTTTAGTTGTAGAATATTTGTATCATTGTATTTGTATGCCTTTCTCTTAAGTATAGTGTTTTGAAAGAGCTAACCATTCAAATTTCAAATTAAGATTAAATTATGTTAAGAGAAGATGAAAGTGTTGATTTTGACAAAAGAAATGAAAAATACTTTGTGTGTTTTATTAGAAGATAGAGTAAAATTAATGCCCATAAAATTTGACAAATATATAAACAACGTATTTACATAATTTCTTTTCAGTTGTCACTAATCCTCGGTAGCTAGATAATAGCTAGCAATTTTACATTTTATATACTCAATGAAATGTATAAATCGAGGATCTTTTTATCTCAATAAAATATATTTTGATCACCATAAAATAAAATTAAAAAAAGAAAAAAAAAAGTGCGTTGAGGTGGCAACTTTATGACCACAATAAATAAATGGTTCATCTTCAATAACTACCACATGTAGTTATGGACAATACCTGCATAATGTTTATTTAACAAATACCTTATAAGTTCTTAGATATTTCCAAATAATTTTCTACCGAAATAAGAAGGGAGGCTTGTAATTTTTTATTTTTTAAAATGAAAATGATGATTTTCATTGTGATACATAAGTAAGGTTCGGGTTTTCTCGGCAAAGGGAATAAAAAACGATAAACTTTCCTTGAATGGACATTTGATGCCCATAAGAGCATAAAAGCCCAAGTTTGGGACAAAATAACCAAGAAATCACCGTTCTAGGAAAAGAAAAAGACGTCCCTACTCAAATTAACATTGTTACTGAACAAGAAAAGACAAAAGTCCTTGGGTTTTTTGAAACAAGAAAAGACAAAAGTCTTAGTTCTCTTGAGAGTTGAGACAAAATTTACCCATCAGTTTAAAGATTGAATATTTAATGGTGAAAAATTCCCCATGAATTGTGAGAAATCTTCAAAGGAAGGTATGAACATCACAAAAAGGGATGGATGTAGGCCTCACAAAACTAAAACAATCAAATTACATTTCCTCTTGAAATAGCCTTGGTAAAATTAATAATCACTTTAAACCATTATCTATCCCTATAGAATTTTGTGAAGGCAAAAGCTAACGAGCAACCCTAACAATTAGGAGGGTGCTCCAATTGATCAAACTTGTAAATAGATGGCCAAAAAATTGCATTTTTCATGATAAAACTGCTAACATCATTAGCCGCTTTACCAAAAATGTACACTGTTCATGGTAAAATCGCTAAACACATTTTTGGCTTTTTTTTTTTTTGCAAGTTTGCCATCTTGATAAATATGGGTTGTTTATCAAAATGATAAACTTGTAACTTTTCAACAATTATAAAAAGAAAAATAACTTCGTTTACAGTCTCTATTCAAACAAATGAAGATCATGAGATGCCTTTTGCCTTAGAACAATAATTTCATTAAAATTTTGATGCTTTGGCTGGCTCTTCATAGTTCGATTTCTTCCGAAGAAAATGTCCCAAAAAAATGACATGATCTCAAAATGATACGTATGCATCTCAGTGATTTTGTATTGAGGAAAGTAAGAAGGTGTAGAGTAGCTGAAGCCCACTCTCTTGCCAAAGCAGCAAGAAAGGGCATGTAACCCCAATTCTTACTTGTTTGTCAAAAAAAAAAAAAAAAATGTACATATGCACAATGTGCATTCATAAAAAAGACGAGAAATAATACTTCACAGTTTTGAGACTTTTCAAAGATATAAAATGGGAAAGGAACAGTATAAGGCAGTCAAAACGTGTGTACATCTTCCATCAAAAAACGCTCATGCATCATAGAATTCTCCTTCAGTATATCTGGTGGTGACCACATTTTCCACCATACATCAGATAAAAAGAAAATAGCCTTTATAGGATATTTAAAGTACAAAGAAATGGAATTATTGTCTTGTGTCAAATAAATTGTGTAAAATTTCCCAAACAATCTACTTATCTAAGAAATTGCTCATTTTCAAATGCTTCCTTAACTGAAAAGAATAAACAAAATGTCACACATGATATACAATATTTATCCTCTACACTCTAGCCCTCAAAATGCGACTATGAAGTAAGGACAACGAATGATCCAAGCTTTATACTCAACTTAGAGTCTGCTGGTTCTTCGCTTTGACGGTCCTCCAGGAAATAGCTTCATTATCCATCCTAGCACTCGCTCCACCACCTAATGGAAGAAGTAACAGGTCAGGATAATTACTCTTATCAATGTTTAGCAGTAGGAACACACAATTAATGATTAGTTTATTTATATAAGTGAAAAGCTTTAGTAAATGTTAAGCAAACGTATTTGCTCTATGGAGTCCATGCCCTTTTGCAGAAGAGAATCATTTGGCAAAGCTAAAAGTAATATCTGATACCACACGAGACAGTCTTACACGAAAATTCCTCATTATTTGCCACTTGAACTTATTTTTCTTAGTTTTGATCTCCTTTTATATTTTGATTGCTTCTTTAATAGCCAATTATGAAAAGTCAATTCCAGAAACCAGTTTTGAGATCTTTGCTGAATGAAGAAATTTAAAACATGATTCACCAATTAAGAGCTCGGAAAAAGTCAGCGAAAGTCACTATCATAAATTTAGACCCCACTAACTCATAAACTCTGCAATCATCTAATTTCACTTAATATGTCAAAAATATCACCACAAACAGAACACTAAAGAAGCATTCAGTGTGACTCAAGCTTCCCAAGCCAATGACCTTTTCTTCCCCTTCACCAAACATATAAATAAAGAGCAAAAGAGGTACCTCATCGCCTTCATCTGCATATGCAACAGTTTCCCGTACAACACTAGAAGCAGTAGGCTGCTTGGCAGCAATATTCTCACTTGCCATGCTTTGAGACATCATCAGCTCTAGTCTCTGAGTCTGAACTTCGAGTTTCTGAGATAGCTCCTTGTTCAATTCCTTCAGATCAAAAGTAACATTTATGAACGCAAATAATGTGACAGAAGGGTACAAATTTGCAATTAAGTCAATAATACATGTCACAATACATACTGGAACCAAGTCAATAGTCTGTTGTGCCACTCCACATTAACTGATTTACAAAAACTTACTATGAGGCTACAGTTTGTTAAGGGTTTTTTAGTTGATTACTCCATTTTACTTGGCAAATTTGCTATTTCAAGGTCATACTTCACAAACAATCAGCATATACATATTACTAGAGTACTTAACACAATGGATACTAGGCAATATTCTTTGAAGTTTTTACCCTTAATTTTTACTCCAATATTATATGCTACTTTAAAGCCCTCCCTCAACACCAGAATAATTCAAATGACTTTCTTTTATTATTTAAAGACCTCCCTCAACACTATTATTTTAATACATCTTTCTTTCCACTTCCAAAAATTCATGCCCTCCCTTCTCTCACATTCAAAAAAAAAAAAAAAAAAAAAAAAAAATCCATCTTTTGATCACATCTAAATTTCTAATAAAATAATAACCTACTATTCATACTCTCTCCGTCCCTGTTTGTTTGTCCCATATTCCATTTTGGGATGTCCCTTAAAGATTGCCTCTTTTCCTAATATAGTAACATGTCCCCACCACTAAACCCACTTGCATACACTCATAAAAGTGAAAAAGACAATTGCACCCTCATCCACTTGCAATCTTTATGGTTCAATTCTTAATAAAGCACATTTTGCCTATGGGGCAAACAAATAGGGACAGAGGGAGTATAACATATCAACAACTTATCACCTAAAACTTTGTCCGGATAAATGTTCGAACTATTTTGGGACGGGGAGAGGTTTTTATTTTTATTACTTTTTAAAAAAACTAAGACATTTTTTCCTGATTTTTATATGTATCTAACTTTGTTCAAAATTTGAATTAGTTATAAAGATTATAAATTACAATTATGTAAATTTAATTCAAAAAAAAAAAGAAAAAACAGAAAAGCCACTTTTTTATAAGCAATATTCAGAGCCAAAGACTAGTTCTTTTACCATAGGTGTCAAAACCACACCCGACCTGACCCGACCAGATCTAAACCGACCCGAAAAATATCCGATTCAGATTTGGACTCGCGTGGACATAATAATTTAGCATGACTCAACTTTAAAAATTGACTCGACCCTACCCAACCTCATCAGACCCGATCCGATCACTTGAATTGACACCTTTGTCTTTTACTAATGTACTCATTGGTTGGTCTTACTCCAGAAGGAATTGGGTTCGGGTGGGTCTCATTCATTCATCAAAGAGATTAATGGTCATAGCAGTAAACTGCAACTAAAAAGATATGGAAGTAATATACACATAGGCGGATAGGCCAGACAAAACGATAAAATCATCTATCAACACCCTTCACAATCTAAATAATTACCTTCAGCTTAGTACTTGTCGAAACTTCAGTAATCAAAGCTTGCATCAATTCCTCCTTTTCTGATATTATCTGCAGCCAGATCTTCTACATTTAGTTACTGAAAAGATATATACCATCGAAAAACACATGAGCAGAAGTGATCAGCTACCTCGCTAATTAATGAATTGATATTTTGGATCATTTGCACTTGGTCTGGAGGGATACACATAGCAAAATCATCATGACCAGCTAAATTATTATGTAAAAGCAGCAAGTTGTCTGCATTGTCAACCATTTGCATGTTGGATGAAGCTTGTTCAGAGCTATCTCCTGTAGTATCACCTACAACAGTGGCAGGATAAGCCAATAAGCCATCAATCACAAGCTTATAATTTTCTATCCATTAAAAAATGTAATTGGGCATGCAATACTAGAAATATATGGCAATTGGAGGAAAAATCAAACCCAATATGGGGAGTGTAGTGTAAATTACAAGTCAACTTGTATATTGTCAAGTACATCCAAAAAATTACTAGAATCAATTATATTGTCAAGTCAACTTGTATATTGACAAAGAGAGATGGGAATTTTGGATCACAAATACCTAAATCATTGGTAGAAGTTGAAGCATCTTTTTTCTCATGCCCCTTACTAGAATCAATTGAAATTCCACTAGCTGAAGCTGTCCTTAATTTAGACTGAAGCAGCTTTTTCTCTGCAAAAGTAGAATGTTTACAGTCAGAGGAAGTCCAGACCAAACAATTAACAAGCAAAAAGATCAAATTTCAAGTTGCAAAGAAAGAGACAAATAATTCCAAGCAACAGCAGTTACAAATGTAGTTTGGGGGTTACAGCTTAGCTTTTGTTGTAAGTCTAAAAAAAAAAAACAGCAGTTACAAACTATGACAGCTATTAGAAAAAATGGAATATTATCACGCACTTTGCTACTTGCAAAATATTAACAACAGAATCAAAATGCACTGTCAGTCTGTAACTACTCAGAAGTTTAATTATGTTGCTACATAAAGGATTAAGAATCAACTTATTACCCTTCAAGAAGTGGTAAGTAGCACTAATTTAGCAACAAATGCATCAATTATGGTGAGCCAAAATTACCAAAAAACAGCAAAATTAAGCAATCAAATTTTTTTTTTAGCTTCATGCAACTTTATGACATATATTTTATGAGATCTGTATAACTTTATAACTACATACCTTCCTGTAAGGCATCAATAGTCTGCAGCAAATCTCGGTGTTCTCTGTCAAGGCTAGACATTTTCTTCCTGCATGACCAACCATACTAAAACATTACCATTGGAAAGAATGACACTTGATTATACATTTATTAAAAAAAAGAATTATAGTGATACAGTACAGAGATGAATCTTCAGAAAGATTTTACATCATGTTCAAAACAAGAAAAGTTGTTAATAATAATAATGACTGCCGCATGCATGATATGCACTAGAAAAAAGCATTAAACAACATTTGCAATAGGAAGAAAAAAGAGTCCCGCCACAATTCACAAATCATAAGAAGTAGCGTTCTATCTCAGAAAGTGCCATTTCCATCATAAAAATTTTAGCTTTTAACATAGGACCCTGAATTTATGTGTAAGAAATAAAGAATCATAATAAAAGGGACTAACAAGGAGAGGTCTAGTGGTCAACCTATACAAAAGGAGGGTTGAGAAAAATATACACTTCCTCCATTTCATTATACTTTAAGTTTCTTTAGGCATGTTTACCAATGCATGTTTTCAAATGGTAATATCTTCAATAATCAATAAACAAAATTACAAAAGAATTGTTCTTATTCTTAAATTATTAAGGAGAGAGAGGAGGACTTTCAAAAAAGAGCATGAATCAAGTAGATATTCAGAAAATATACATTGAGACAAATCCAACAAGACCTCACATGACTATGTTCTTCTCAAGTATAAATCACAAAATGTAATCAAAGTAACTTATGTAAATAGTGCTAAAGTCAAAACATATCAACTAATAAGAAACAGAGGAAGTATACAAATACCCGCCAGACAATCAAAACCTCCCATAAAAATGAGCCTATAGACACATTACATTCAAATCTATAGAATCAAGCATGACTTATTTACAAATTTAAGGAAAACCAATTCTCATGTCGAACACTTGACTCCAATTGAACAAGATCATCATAAGGTACAATAAAAAACAAAAAACAACAAAGCATAAGAAAAAGAACCCATCACAGCAAGGTGTAATTAATAACTTTTCAAATAAAGAATACATAATGTAGTTAACAGAACTACAACTTATCCAATCTTTAACTATAATCACTCATCAGTTGTTCTTCAAAACAATAACATGGCAACAATATAAGTATATCAAAAAGCATCCTTTCATTTCCATTTACAATTCAAACTTCCTCTGTTAGTATAATGTAATGATATAGGGGGCGTTCTAATTGTAAATTGACCACTATTTGTTACATTACAGAATAAGTGGAAAAGCTCAATTGCCATTTATCATACTCACCATCTTCCAATATAAATTTGAACGTTTAAAGTAAAGAAATTAAAAACATCTATCAAAGGTCAAGGGTTGACCAATGGAAAAATATGCAAGAATGAACGGTCAAATTGTGAAGGTACGGTCAAATTTCAAAATTCAGGAAAGATAAGGTTGCTTATACAAGATCAGCAAACCACGTTTAATCACAACACACGTTTTGTTATGGATTACTACAATAAATCAATAATCAGGAAGCACGCAACTATATTAAGGCTATAAGTATATGGATTTTACACAGATACTGGAAGCTAATTCAGGCACAGTAACAAAGTTACATGTGTTCTACCACCTTAATTAAAAATGATATTCGCTGCATACAGATGTAGGCTGCAATGCTGCATGCCCCATAAACTTACATATAAAAACAGGCTGCATGCCTTGAAAGATAAGCCGGTAATAGAAAGTAATACAAAACAGAATGAACACAGAAGCAATAAACAGTAGGAGCTATGGCTTTTAGAGCTACTGAGGAGGAGAAATCCGTACTTGTAGGAAGCAACTTCAGCATTTGAATTTTCCAACTCCCTCTCCAACTTCAGCTCATTAGATCTTAATCTAAGGGCCTACAAGATATAATTAAGACACACCCAATAACTAACCATATCAGCATTAAAAAAAATTGACACATTGAAGCCAAACAAATATCAATAGTCAATGCCGGACCGATATTTACGTATTCGTCAAAAACATGGATCAATGTTGAAAGAATGTACATCAGCTCAATGTCAACCCATATAATGTTACAAAATTCACAAAATTGTCATTGAATATTATGGGCAACAAATTTCTAAAAAAGAAACGAGATTATAAAGCAATGATGTATTTCTAACAATATCCCCTCCCATGTGTAGGTCAAGACATACGCTGTCTGAGATACTACACCCATATCATGTTACAAAATTCACGTCTATCTCATTGAATAATAGCCAACAAAATTATATAACGAAATGAAATTATAAAGCCACATATTTCTAACAAAGCTCCCTATGTTGGTCAAAATGTATGCCCCCACCCCCACCCTCACCCCTTTTCTATTTCCCCATCAGTAATTCAGATAATTTTTTTTGTTTCAGAAATTCAGATAATGATGTAATGAAAATCACCTTCTCTTCCAAGCTAATAACTTCAGAAGCCAGAAGCCTTGCGCGCTCATCAGCAGCATTACACTCAAGTTGTGCGTTCACATATTCAGACTTGATAGCCTCAAGCTCAACCTACTGCACCAAGATGACAGAATTAAAAAAAGCCAAAATATTGGATTGTAAATGTGAGCTTTAGGAAAATAAAAGAAACATTTATTTATTCATTACAGAATTGAGGTTACTTGATTCATTTTCCTTTGTAATTAAGTTTATTTTAATGTTCTTTGTCATAAGCACTTCATCTTACACATTGCAAACTCAGTTATATGCCATTGACATCGAAGTCAGCATAAAAATTACAATACGGTTTCTATTAAAGATGAGGTCTATGAAGAATACTAATCCCTTCCATCCTATAAGTATGGTCATATCTAAAGAGTAAAACAAATAAGGGAACATCATATGCTGCAATGTTTCCCCTGATTTTGCTTTTGACAAAATGCCATTGAGAGTATTACAAATTACATGCTTTGTATTTCAACAATAGAAGCTTGACATACATTTCAACTGTTTAAGACATAATATGAAGAAAAAGGATAACAGGCTACTGTTAAGGGACAATTTAAAACCCCCACAAACTCCACATTACAGTCAATTAGCAGGCTTCACCAACAAGCAATAAGTTATTGTCATTGATAGACAAGGATAATGACACTAACCAGCCGGGACTTAATATCATCCTGCAATCTTTCCATTTCAGCCTTTAACTGGCTCACAATGCTTGCCTGAAAGTAGGATAAATAGTTTAGTTGGCAATTATCAGAGAGTTTAATGCACAACACTAATGGAAACAAATCAAAAAAACTATACAAAACAGAAAGTCAACCAGAGTAGCCTCCATAACTTTAAAAAAAGGCCACCCTACACAAGAAGTGCCAGAGCATAGAGGAATTTTGACTGGCGCAAATAATACGATTTTATCTGGGGACTAACTGACAAATAAGCGAGGAATTAGAAGAGGCTAAATTTGATGGATTTCATATTTGAATGGATTAATTTGTTCCATTTTTAGTGACAGGGAGTGCAGAGTTGGAATATATTTTTGGGAAGGACAAGTACAGCACACTTCAAAGTTCAAATCAACAAAGGAATTGTAGCTCTACCAACATTAAATGAGGTTATCAAAATATCACAAAACTCTCATTTACCACAAATTCATAAAGATCAAACGTTAAACACATAGATTAACCAATTGGTGAATCTTGAGACGTGAAGTGTTAGCCCAAAAAAAAAAACCAAAAAATTTACTAACCATGTATCCAATCGAGAAAGTAATATGACATTGTTTAAGTTAACAGAGGAGACACCAACCTGCTGATTATAGCTCTCTGTCAAAGAAGAATTCTCAGCAGCTAATGACTCTGTCAAAGTTTTAGAGGCCTCCAATGTACGTTGCAGAGAAAACTTCTCTTGCGTCAAATCTTCAATGTGCTGGCAGAAGCAAAGGAAATAGTAAATTAGATCTATATTCAAAGCACAAGAAGCATGTATGCGAATCTTCTTCTAACCCAATCAATCAATCAATCAAAGCCTCTTCTTCTAACCCAATCTCACACATAAACTAAAATGCATATCTTGATTCTTGAATGAAGGTGCAACATTTAATAATGCCTTAAAAATCCAATCCTCCCCCAAGTAAGTATCCAACCTACAATGATAGCAGTTAAGTCCTTTTTGAAATTAACCAGAGCACACTATCACATCACCTTTGCTAACAAAAAATCTAAAACAATATCACTATAGAACAACCCTACCTACATATTTTTTCAACAGAAATCCAAATTATTTATTACTTTCACCATATGGTATATTAAAGAGGTTTCAGTGAAATTCAATCATAAAGAGCTTCAAACATATACATGCTCCTACGTGAGTACTAACTCAAGCATTTCAGGTCATAGATCCATGGTCATCATGGCTAAAAAGTCCTTAAATACAACTAAGGAGTTAATTAAAAAAAAAAAACTATTATGCCTGAAATATAATTTCCATACAGCTTCCTAATGATACACCAGGCATTTCAAGTTATAATTCCATTAGAAAAAGAATCAAAAGAGCCCCACAACCCGGTATAAGGTGATTTGTGAGCAAACACATATATGCATGTTGAATTTTTTTTACAAACTGGTATATTAGATGATTTAGCACAGATACTGCAACGTTGTAATACATATCGTGACTCTAGACGGGAGGGAAACTCTGATATGATATATAGAGCAAGTGAGCAAGGAACTTTTCCAATTAAAACAAACATGATTTGTCAGTGAAAATGAGAGAAAAGCACAAGAAATCATACATACAGAAAAAGATGCATACTCCATGGCCAAGAAACTGTGAAGGTAATTCTGCACATTGGAGAAAAAGAGATACCTGCTCCAATGCAGCAAAATCTTCATTTTGTTTCTGGGTTGTGAGTTCCAGCTTACTCTCCAGGCTGTGCTCAAATGACTTGTGTCCCTTTGACGCATTGCTGAAGAAACCATCACTTGGACTAGAATAAACTGATGTTGGAAGGGGTTCAACAGGAACATATGCTGTAGAAGGATCATGAATTGCAGACGATTCAGCAATATTGCTGCTTGGAAGCTTAGCATTCATGAACTTATCATTCTCAACAAAAGGGCGGCCAGATGCAGAAGAATCTTTAACAATGTTAAGAGAATCAAGGAAAGAAGGACGAGATCTTCTGGGATATGGTTCAGCCACAACTGAATGCGAGGGACCATTAAATAAACCGCTGGTGTTAGAGTTGAAACCTATCGAACGTGGTTCAGATGGCCATTGATTTCCATAACCTGCCAAATTCCCCACTACATTACTAGGTTGTCTTTCCTCCAACCCAAAATGATTCTTCGACTTCAGAAAGCTATGACCAAACTCTGATGCAGATTCTGGCAAATCCAAACGTGAGCGTACAGAATCTGCAATGATAGCAAAACATGTTACATGAAACAACCATAACCCAATCACTATTTAACTGTCAGACTAAGTTCTTGCTTAAACAACTCCACTGACCAGATTCCTGATGTAAAACATGGGTGACTCGGCCCTCGGTAGAGTCTTTTGCAGCAATATCATTGGTGCTTGCATTGGTGTTAGCAAAGCTTGCAGAAGAACTAAAGTCATTATCATATCCATACAATTTGGAGTGAGAATCACTACTATTATAAACTTGAGAAGCACTAGGTCTGCTAGATGATATTGTATCTGCAAATCTTCCTCTTCCTGTACCGGTCCCAAAGTTTCCAACACTGTCATCTGTTTGTTGTGAGAAGTCAGAACCTGCTTGGTAGTTTGAAGCTGGAACCTCATGACTGTTTAACACTTGATTTGGAAGCTTCTGAAGGAAATCAAGTGAGCTAGAATTATCACTTTGGGTATCAATGTGTGCCCGAGGAACCGAATCAGACCCATTGTATTGAGTGAAAACATGTGATTTGTCACTGTGTTCAGTATAAACAGAAGCTCCAGTTACTGCATCGGAACTACTGTCAGTAAGAGCATTGACAGAATTGTCAGACAATGCTTGTCCATTTCCTGAAGTCTGTTTCTCAGATGGTGTAGCATCATCTATACGAGGTTGGATACTTGATGCTTGCTTTTTGGAAGCTCCTCTCTTCTTTTTAAACTCTTCCAGCTAAAAGAAACATATATATTAGAACAGAATTTCGAGCAGGTTGGTCGTCGATACAAAACACAAGTACATATATAAAGCTACACAACCTAAATAGAATATAATGAGATTGATTAGCACATAATGTTTAGAAAGTAACGATAACAACACAACTTGAATCTAGCACAACACACAACATTTTCCCAGTTATTTCTCGGAGCATAAACAAGATCATTCCTCTTACCCCAGTTCACCGCTTCACTATTGTGCCACGCAAAGGGAGACAAAAGTCAGGAGGAGGAGAAAGAAGGTAAGAGAGACATATTTGGTGTTGTCAACCCAAAGTCACTATTTTATGTGATCTACAAAGTCCTTAGTATCCTTATTAACTGGGAGATACTTGCTGAAGCAGGAATTTCTGGAATGATAAGCTCCCTAAGTCCCTCGTTCTTTTCCCCCCATTTTTCTCCTCCACACAAAAGAAAGAAAGAAATATATACTTCCGTGGAACAAAGTATAAAAACAAGTGCAATATAACAACCACGCAATGCCCAGATAATTAGGTAATAAGAGGCTGCATTGATAAAATTTCCTGTGCATGTCAAGCAGGTTTACATACGAGCAGACTTATCGTCCAGTCATATGCTAACATAAAATGATACTGCCAAATAAGGAAGAGAAAGAAAAAGAGACTCATGGTGGACTTTCCATCTGCGCGGCTGCACCATAGTGGTTTATGGGTTGTGGCAGGGAGCCATTAGTGAAAATGAAAGAGAGAAGAAGGCAGAGTGAACAAAGAAGAAATAAGTAGTGTTCCTGGTTCAAAAGCCCTAGATCTATCGCATTCTACAATATTATTATAAACAACCAATATTCTAACATTTATTCACTAAGTTCCAGTGTAGTATACTTGAGTCTGTTGTTTATCTAGAAACAGCTATTGAGCGTTCACTTCTTAGTACAATATTGCATACATCTTGGCCTCCCCATTCATCACAAATGGGGTGACGAGGTACACATGTAGTGGTGGGGCTGTTAAAGGATATAGACTTAACCAATAGCAAAATTCAAACAGGAATTAAGCTAGAAAAAGATTCAATCAAACAAAAATCCTAAATACATTGACTTCCAAAAGGACAAAATTGAACTTAAATGCTTTATGATAGCAAACAGATTTAGATACGACTTCAGCATCCAAATCATCGCAACAATCTAGTATTATTCTCATGTTTGACTTTCCTGTAATCCGAACTGATTCTGATTCTATACCTAATGGCAAAACAGGTTCATTATTACACTCCCCAAAAGAGCTACTGAAGGCACAAAACTAAATCCAAAAGGACAACATATACCATCAACTAAGAATAAAAGTATGTAACATCACAGTTTCACCAATATACCAGCAAAGTTAGTTTACAATGTTCCACGCATGAACACTGCATAAAAGAAAGTTACTCTAATTGGAAGCCAAAGTATGGACACTCCTAAACGATCAGAATCTAACATTATCAGCAAAATATTCAAGCACAAACAAATCAAAGACCAATAAGTTATCTTCTCCAAGTCAAAAACTTGACATTGTCTGAGAAATTTTAGAGCTCGAACAACTTGTTCAAAGTACACATCTCTTACCAACAACTTAGCCTACTGATCAAAATCGCGGTCATACTAAAACTAATTCCCGGGTTCGAATCATCCCACTTAAGTTTCATATACACAAATTAACAACAACAAGAGAAACTATCTAGAAAAATTAGCTTAAATTAAACAATCAAAACCCGAAATTGAGGCCATACCAAGCGTCTACCAGCTTCCAAATCCTTTTTTTTTCCGGGACGAAACAGCTGGTTTAGATAAAACTTGAGCAGATGCCATCTCCAGAACAAAAATCGCCCCTCTAATTCAGCATTACACAACCCACATTCAATAATCCAACCCCTTCAATTTTCACCCAAAATTAGCGCAATCAAAATTTATCTGATTAGATTTGTCGGTAATTTAATTCTGATCCACTCCGCCCAAAAAAATCGTCTGAACAGATCGAATCACACCCCAAAATTGCAATTTGAATTTCAAAATTGATTGTATCTATAACCCCAGATTCATCAGATCTCCCTCGATCAAAACAATAATCAAAATCCCCAAATCTCCGAAGAAAACAAAGATATGGGGGAGAGAGAAAAAAAAAACCCTAAAAATATGAGAAAACTAATTTGGGGGAAAATATATAAAATTATAAAAATTCAAATTTGTACAACAAACTTAAAGCTGAAATTGAATTAAAAATAAATAAATTTAAGTAGGTAAAGAAGTAAAAATTAATGCTGCTATAATTGTGTGAAATTTAAGGGAGCATCAAAAGAGGTTGATTTTGCTGAAGAAGAAGCGCCATTGATTTTGATTTGATTTGTCGGTATTTTGACACTTCTTAATATTTTTGAGATCTACCCTCTACCCTAAAATACCATAATAAAAACGTTAAACGTGTAATTGTTGGGACGTGGTGTAATTTTATTCATTGTTATAACGTGGCATCATAAAAAATAATACCAAGTTTATTAGGAGTAGGATCAAAATAAGATAGAATTTTATTTAAAAATATATTAAGACATTAATGAGAAATTATGACATTTGCATACATATAATCAAACAGGTAAAAAACTACATAAAGAACGCTTAAGAGAGCGATAATACCAAATATATTTGAGAGACAAGAAACAAGAGACGAGCATAATAGAGAAACGTACATAGCTACATATATCATTTTCAGTGTAAATAGGGGTTATCATCTCGACATTATCTGCAACAGGGCTAAGCTTGTGTTGGACATTCGAACCAGCGTCTTGATAAAACTAGTGTATAGCCCAAGTGATATCCAAATAATTACTTTATACATCATATTTGTATGTTACTTAAATTCCTAATTACATAATGAGAGATTGAGTGTTTTAGTAAACAATAAAGAAACTAGTGGAAAAGAATGCAAAACAAACACTCACAACCCAAAGTTAGATATATTCAATTTGAGTTAAATATGAATTCACACATATTGCAACATTTCCCTACTTGCTTATGTTCTCTATCTTTTTCTCTTCTCATCACATGAGTCCCTATCTTTATTCCTCTCTAGCTCTCTATTCTTCTTAAAATTCGTATCCCCTCTCCATGTTGCAATATTAGGGGAACGGAAAAAGTATATATTAAAAAGTGTTTCTAATATATAATATGTGTCACATGTCACCTTTTTTATGCAATATAAATATGTCATGTCAACAATATGTGCCACATGTCGCATCTTTAAATAATATGAACATGTCATGTCACTTTCACAACATTAATTAAATTTGACAACTAAAAAATGCTTATACAAAGACTTGATCTCGGGATCAACAAGTATTAAGTTACAAATCTTACCACTTAGCTATCCATTTATTGTGTATTTGCTTTATTACCCAACAATATTATAATAAATTGGATAAAATAATCAGTGTTTGATTGTACTATTTGTGCCCCATTATGTAATGAGCATAAGACAATTTAACAACTTTAATTTTGAAACTTGAAAAACTACACGGTGTGGCCAATCATAAGGAGGGTTACTCGTTCAGTGTTACAGGAGCTACTCAATAAGTGTTATATGGGTTAGTTTGTTATTTTACAAGCGGTTACACAAATTACTGAATATGGTTCTCCTAATATAAATTTATTTTTATTTTTTCAAATTTTAAAATTTTTCAAGATGATTATCAAAACATTAAAAAACAGTCTAACATGATTATCAAACTAAACAAATACAAACTAGCAATTTGGGACATCATCTGCACCTCACACTAGTTTGAATACAAAACGGGTTCAAATTGAATCCTTATATGAACTAGAACCGGATTGGAACCGATTAAGGGTTCGGACCCACCGATTTCTTGCTCACCCCTTAGTCTTGGGACTGGCGCCTGGCGGGGAAATTGGCAAATTCTTTTTGGATCTTACATTCTTCATCTCAAATTATCAATCTTCATCTCCTTATTAATAATCACAATTCACATATACTATTCTTGAGCCTTGCTCTGTGCCTGTGATTCAAAAACAATGGCAGCCATGCCTAGATAATCTCCTAATATATCTCATTGTCAATCAATTCTCATTTTCTCTCTCCTTCCACAATACCCAAGTAGCCAAAGAGCGTCCTTCTTCTCTTCCCAAATTCAGGATCAAATCAAAACATCCCAGAATTTGAATTCCAGAATCATTCATTCCCCAGGTAATTGTTCGACTCAAAATTGTATTGTGTTTTTAATTTTTACATAGGCAACTCAAATAAGTTACGGAGTATCAGATATTCATTGGATTATGCACTGAAATTTACATTGAATAGGGCTTGAATTAGGAAAAAAATTTGAAGTTGATTGAAGTGATTGATTGTATTAGTTAGTTATCTGGGTTTGTATTGTTGGATTAATAGTTATTTTACATGATTATGAAATTTAATTATAGCAAAAACTGTTATGCAATACTGTTTACCTTTGAGTACGGCTGCACTATTTTATTACTGTAATTCATGGTACAATGTGTCTATTATACCATTATCTGTAACCCCTTTGAAACTTTATTCGTAACTTCAATCGATGTGTTACAATTAATCTTATTTTAACCCAACTAATGTTTATGACTAACCCCGTTTATGCACGATCAATAACGAAATTTGAAAGTGTTTGTAGCGTCAACTAATGGTATATCGCGATGCATATGAGATTTTGTAATGCTATGAATGTGTGGTGCATATTGGACTTGAAATTGATAGGAAGAACTTGTCGAACTAGATTTTGTGCTTCTTCTATACCCATTTGCTGGATGTGCTTTCTTGTTGCCAATGAATTACAACCTCGGCATAACTGAGTTTTTGGACTTACTACTTACTCCTCTACCAAACAGGTGTATCACAATTGTAGCATCTTGTTGAGAAACTCTGGAATTTATGTCCAATCTGGTAGCAGTCAATGGCAGTGGTTTTAAATCCGGACCTGTGGGATTGTTCCAAACAATCAATACTAGTGCAAATTTATCAAGAAAATTCGCTTGTACTTGTATTTCGTTAGAAGGAAGGGATTTAATACATGAAGGAAAAATTGGGTGGCAACATGTGTTTCATGAAAGCTACGGTTGTTCCAAAATGCAGCCTGTTAAAAAGCTAGGTCTCCAAGCTAGAGCTTTAGCTGGAATCCCCCTTGAAAAGGCTGAGCAAGGATTGTCAAAATACCATTTTAGGACTGAGAATGGTGGTCAAGTGAAGGTAGCTGTCGGGAAGAGAAGTTTAAAGTATTCGGTGCATATTGAGGTTTGTCCTTCTCAACTGAATGGTAACCCGGAGAAGCTGGTACTAAATTGGGGTATATATAGATCCGACTCTTCATCTTTCATTCCTTTTGAATTCCAAACCTCAGCTCCTGAGAAGGCCGTCTCCCAGATATCTCTGAGGAGAAACTCTTTTGGCACTTACATAGTTGAAATAGAATTTGAATCATATTTAGCCCCATTTTATCTCTCATTCATGTTGAATTATATAAATGGCTCTGATTCAGAAAGTTTCGAGATAAAGAGTCATAGACAAACCGATTTTTGTATTCCTATTGGCTTTGCAGCTGGGTATCCAGCTCCGCCGGGTGTTTCTTTCTCCAGTGATGGTAGGATGAACTTTTCTCTTTTCTCCAGAAATGCAGAAAGTGTTGTCCTTTGTTTGTTCGATGATATTGCGTCACAGAAACCTGCTTTAGAGATTGAACTGGATCCGTATGTGAACCGAACTGGTGATATTTGGCATGCATCTTTTGATAGTGTTGGACCCTTTGTGAGCTATGGATACAAATGCAAAGGAGCTGTATTTAGTGAAAAAAGTAACAGGGTTATTTTAGATCCATATGCTAAACTGTTAACGAAGAAGCTTCCTGGTCTACCTGATCTTGGTCAATTACATGCTATACCAGCTTTTGATTGGAGTGGTGATACCCGTCCTGGATTAAGCTTGGAGAAATTAGTTCTCTATCGATTAAATATAATGCAATTTACTGGGGACAAGTCCAGTAAACTGCCTGCTGAGTTTTCTGGAAACTTCTCTGGTGCTGCTGAAAAACTTCAGCATTTCAGGAATCTTGGTATCAATAGCATATTATTGGAGCCAGTTTTTCCATGTGATGACAGAAAGGACCCCTATTATCCATTTCATTATTTTTCACCAATGCAGGTATATGGACCTGCTGGCGATTCTATATCTGCTATTAATTCAATGAAAGAGATGGTAAAGACAATGCATGCCAATGGAATAGAGGTTCACTTGGAAGTTGTTTTCACTCATACCACTGAAAAAGGAATACTCCAAAAAATCGACCCTTTATCCTATTTTTATGCTGATAAGGACGGAGAATTGAGTATTAGATATGCTTTGAACTGTAACTATCCAAACATGCAGCAGATCATTGTTGATAGTCTCCGGTATTGGGTGACTGAGTTTCATATAGATGGATTTTGCTTCCTAAATGCTTCAGATCTCTTGAGAGGCTCTTATGGAGAGAGCTTGTCTCGCCCTCCTTTGGTCGAAACTATTGCTTTTGATCCTGTACTTTCAAAAACAAAGATAATTGCGGATTTTTGGGATCCTTATGATGTGAAATCCAAAGAAACCTGCTTTCCTCATTGGAAACGATGGGCTGAAATAAATTCTAAATTTTGTGTTGATGTGAGAAATTTTTTGAGGGGTGAAGGACTTATAAGTAGTCTTGCAACACGACTTTGTGGAAGCGGGGACATTTTTTCTGCTGGAAGAAGTCCATCGTATTCGTTCAATTATGTTGCCAGGAACTTTGGTCTTTCTCTAGTTGATTTGGTTAGCTTCAGCTGTAGTGACCTTGCTTCTGAATTTAGTTGGAATTGTGGGGAAGAAGGCCCTACAGATCAGAAAGTTGTCCTTGAAATGCGGCTCAAACAAATCCGTAACTTTCTCTTTATATTATTTGTTTCACTTGGTGTTCCTGTATTAAATATGGGAGATGAGTGTGGCCAATCTACTGGCGGATCCCCTTCATACAGTAAAAGAAAACCTTTCAATTGGAGTGCTCTTAAGACTGCTTTTGGTGTCCAGATCACGCAGCTTATTTCATTTCTGATTTCTCTGAGAGAGAGGCGTGGTGATCTTCTGCAGAAGAGGGAATTTTTGGAAGAAGAAAATATTGGTTGGTATCACTGTGACTTGTCTCCACCAAGATGGGATGATCCACTAGCTAAATTTCTAGCTATGGAATTAAAGGCTGACAACAGAGGGTCAGAGTCTTCCTTTGTGAAGGGTGACTTGTATGCTGCCTTCAATGCCGGGGGACATTCAGAAAATATAATTTTACCACCACCCCCTGAGGGAATGACTTGGGTACGATTACTTGACACAGCTCTTGCTTTTCCTGGATTTTTCTCGTCAGATGGCATTCCTGTCCCTGAGAAGATGCCTGGATTGATAGCATACGAAATGAAGTCACACAGTTCTGTACTTTTTGAAGCAAAGATCCTGAATGCGCGAGTTGTGTAATTCTGGATTGTAATTTAGTTCTTAATAAACACTAGTAATTTGTACAGAAAATAAAGCGTAGTAGTCATGAAATTATCCAGCATTTCTGAGTTTGAAATTTTGTAGTAAAGCCACTTGTAAGTGTGTAACCGTATCAAGAGACAACAATGAAGCCACAAGTAAAAAAATTCCTGCACATGTAATGCAAACTACTTAACTACATACACAAGTTATTTTGGTATGAAACATAGGTACATATTTCGGGAAGGTAGGATGTGTTATCACATAGGAATTCTCATCCTCAACTAAGTTGAGGCCACAGGGACCCAACTTATAAAAATAAAAGGAAAATAGAAAAGCACATTAAAAATTATAAAAAGTAAAAAGAGTGGGGGGACCTCTTGTCAATAACCACCATCCTATTCCTCCCCAAATTTTCACTAGCATTTTAGCAATCTGCCACAAAAATCAGAAATTTTTCCCTCCCAAATTTTCCACCAAAAATCAAAATATTGAAGCTGGACAAAGGAAAAGCCCCAAATTTTGGAGGTGAAAGAGTGAAGCTCTAATTGGCGACAATCTAATCCCCGATAATTGAACGACCTACACGAGTTCGGACAGATCAAGAAATTGTGGAGCAGATTTGTAGTTGGGTTCAGTTGCCGAAATGGAAAATGGCAAATGGGTGAACGAACAAAGTGAGATCATTGAGTTTAGTCTTTATTTGTTGCATGTGGTTAATTATGTACTATAAATGTGTATTCTTCAAAATTCGCCTGGTCATCTAACAATTGGTTAAGCTATTGCTGAAAATTGTTGTCAAAAAGTGAAGAATAAGGCTGAATTTTGCGTGAACGTTTGTTTGTTATTTATAAGTTATAAAGTACTGGAATTTAGAATTGGCAGGTGAATCGGTATTAATTTGGTTAATAATTGAAGGATTCTTATTTAGATGCTTTGATTTTTGTTATACTCCCTCCGCCCATAATTATCTACAACATTTGCTATAAATGGGTGCTCTTAATTATGTGCAACAATTTTTTTTCTTTCCTCTTTTAGTAAATTTTAAAGAGTAAAAAGACCACCTTACCCTTACTTTTATTTTTTAACTTTGTTTAACATCTTTTAATTACACTTACTTACCAACTAATTACCACCTTACCCCAGCCACTTCGCCGCCCCTACCACCAGCCCAGACAAGCCCAGAGCACCAGCACCACCGCGACAAGACCCCAGATCGTCGAGCAATTCTTCGACCATCCCCTACCCCTTTCCGTCGCCACCCTAATCCACCACAACCAATAATATGAGTTCGTGGATTTCGGTGGTTTGAGTTCGTGGGTTTCGATTCCAGATCTGGGTTTCGTGGGTTCGGTGGTGGGTTTCAATGGTCTGAGTTTGTGGGTTACGGTGTTCTGAGTTCCTGGGTTTCGTGCGTTCTTGGAGTCGTGGGTTTCAGTGGTGGGTTTCTGTGGTTTGGGTTCGTGGGGTGGTGGTTTCGGTGGTTTGGTTTGTGAAAGATAGAACATTGTTTGTGGGGTGGTGTTTCGGTGGTTTGGTTTGTGGGGTGGTGGGTTTTGGTGGTGGTTTCATGGGGGTTGCGTAAGTGGGATTGGGTGTTGGTGGTTCGTGGGGTGGCGTGGTGGTTCTGCGTCCGTGAGTGGTGGTTGTTCTCCAATGTTTAATTGTGTTTTTTTTTTATTTGGATTAATTATCCCTTCTCTCTCCTCTTAATTTTCAATAAACTTGTTTAAGAAATTTTGCCTAGGAGTCTGCAAAAATGACGTTTGGTGCAGATAATTGTGGGCAGAGGAAGTATTTGATTTGTGTTATATTAAATGCCATATATGTCTATCCAATTAAATGAAGGTTCTCTAGAACTTTGCTTGAGTGTATCTCCTGTTGTGATGTTCTTGTTGTGTTGTTATTGTATTGCTGTTGTTCTTTTATTGTTGTTGTTCTTGTATTATGATGGCTATTAGTAATAATAGAAGAGTTGGTTTTTATTATTTTCTGCTTTCGGTTGTTTTGGGTAGCAGAATGGTTGTGAGTACCAGGTCATGGAGGGAGACTCGGTAGTTTGTAGCTCAGATAGTTCAGTGATGAAAGTTCACAAAGTGATTTGAATGACGATGGATGGGAGGGTATTGACTTGAACAAGGAGCCTCCTGCTCAATGTAACATTACCGAGGAGGGTACTATTACTAGGGAGGGTATCGACTTGAATGACGATTGTAGTGTGGGTTCACATAGTGTAGGCTCAGAGAGGGGCTTAGACAGTTCAGGGTCAGGTAGAGAGCTAGGCTACTTCATTACCTCATCCACAAGCAGGAATGGTGTTTGGCAATTAGCATGACATGAATAAGTTTTATCGTGGTTATGAGAAGCAAGAAGGATTTGGTGTTGTGTGTATAGGTGGTGGGAAGCCAATCTCAAAAAATGCGGGAAGTCAAATTCATTTTGCACTTATGTTTGGAAGTGCGAGTGCTATGGTAAGACAACATAAAGGAGGAGGGTTAATGGGAAGAGGGTTGTGGTTAAGGAAAAACCAATTGTGAAGAAGACTACTAAAAAATGCAATTGTCCAGTTATAATTTATGGTCAAGGTTATGATGAAGGTGGTTGGCAGATCAAGAAGGCTGTTAATGAGCACAATCATAAAGTGAGTCCTGAGTTGTCTAAACACATTGCTATGTATAGAAAGGAAAATATTACAAAGCATTTGGAGCATAGGATTGAAAATGACCATGGATTCGGTGCCCCGGTAGGGTAAATTTTCAACAATATGGCAAGCCAAAGAAGCGGTGTTGAGAATATGGGATTCACGAAAAAAGATATTCACAATTTGATGAATAGAAAGAGGAGGTTGAAGTTAAAAAATGGTGATGCCTCGGCTATTGTAATACCCCGTATTTTTATACGTATTTTTAATTTAAATAAGTATTTCTTAAAGTATTTAAATAATTCGAAATGAATTATTTAGGCTTTTTCATTAATTTTAAAAGAATGATTTTAATTAAAAGTTATTTTAAATTATTTAATAATCTTGGAAATATTTTATTTTATGATTTAAAAATATTGGGGCATGTTATTATATAAAAAGATAATTTTTAAAGTCAATGGTATTTAAGAAAAGTCAAAATACTAGTTTGACTAGGAAAGGGATCATTAAGGGTAGTAAAAGAATTTAAAGTAGGAGGGATATTGACAGGGGGTATAAATACCCATCATATGCCTAAGGTGGAGTGCACCTAAAGGTAAACTCTCTCTCTCCTCTTATTTTCTTTTCCCCTTAATTTTTCCCCTTCCCCTTTATTTATTTATTTTTATTTTATTTTCAATCACCACACACACCACCACCACACACACCGGACCACCACCACACGTCGTCGGACCACCGCCGCAGCCACCAGCAGGTGCCGGTGACAGCAGCGGCACCACCAGCAGGCGCGGCAGCAGCCGGCTGTGGTGTCGGTGCTGTTATGGCCGAACAAAAAAAAAATATTTTCTTTTTATTTTTAATTAAATCTACGCTAATCTAATTAATGTTTTTGGGTTTTGTGATGATTTTAGGATGTTTAATAATAAGTATTTTGTATATTAATTTTCAGATTTGGCTTTGAATTAAAAAGCCACAAATTAAAAACCCTAGGTTTCTAAATTAATGTATATTGATGGAATTTGATTGTGGTTGATTAAAACTATTGAAATAAATGTTTTTAAACTAAATTACAGCAATTTTATAAGTTTTAATAATGCTGAAATTTTTATATATAAGCTATAATTAAGTTTCTTGAAAGGATTTTTAATTACCCATTAATTGGGAATAAAAGTAAGGGTTTTAAATAAAATTTCAGATTATTTTAGGGGGTTTATGAGTGATTTAAAGAGAGTATATATTGCTGAAATTTTTGTGGAAGAGGTATTAATACTTTTTTATAATTTTGGTTTGTAGGAGACTTTCAAGTGAGTGATTTTATTTAGTCGTGGCGATTTTGGGATCATATTCAAGGTACGTTCGCGTACTTAGTAATTATTTGAATATGTAGAAGCATGCTAGGCTTTGTTTAATTAGTTCCAAGTAGTATCATGATAGGAACTCTAGTCAGGGAAATAACAAGGGAGCAAGGCATTTCTATTGTAAGAGGTGTAAGAATAACCACCCTGGAAGGGATTGTGATGGGAATTTGGTTACTTGTCGTGCTTGCAACAAGTTAGGACACAGGGAGTATGAATGTTTCTCCTAGGACCCTAATAGAAACAGGCAGGGAAATAATCAAGGTAGGGCCCAAAAGAACTTTCAGGGAAGTAACAACTATTCTGGGAACAAGGGAGCACAACAGAATGCGGCGAAAACCAACAATAATAATGGGAACAACCAACAGAAAGGTGGAGCTGCAGTAAAGTTGAATGTTATGAGTAGGCATGAGGCTGATTCCACGAAAGATGTCATCACTGGTACTTTTTCTATTAACTCTATTCCTGTTAAAGTCTTGTTTGATTCTGGTGCATCTTTTTCTTTCATTTCAAAGGTAATTGTTTCAAAATTACCAAACTGTTTGAAAACCGTAGATGAGGTAGATTTTCCTGTAGTTATTCCTACGGGTGGGGTAGTAAAGTGTAACAAGACCTTTATAGATTTACCTTTAGAAATCGAAGGAAAAGTGTTTTTATCGGATCTCAATGAGTTTGGATTGAGTAACTTTGATGTCATTTTGGGAATGGATTGGTTGAGCAAGTATAGTGTAGAGATTAGTTGTAGATCACAGAAAGTGAAAATGACTACAACTGATAATGAGTTGGTGACATATTGGATGCATTGTGAAACCAAGTGCCCAAGGATCATACCTGTGTTAAAACTGGCAAAGTATATTAAGAAGGGGCATCCAGTGTATTTTTGTAGTGTGAGGAATATGGAGAATGAGGAGACAACTAAGCCTGAAGATATAGAAGTAGTGAACGAGTTTCTGGATGTGTTTCCAAAAGAAATTCCTGGAATGCCACCTAAAAGGGCAATTGATTTCACAATAGAGCTAGTTCCAGGAACAACACCAATTTCCAAGGCACCATATCGAATGGCACCTACAGAGATGAGTGAGTTAAAGGAGCAATTGCAGGATTTATTAGAAAAGGGTTATATAAGACCAAGTGCATCACCTTGGGGAGCGTCAGTGTTATTTGTGAAGAAGAAGGATGGAAGTATGAGGTTGTGTATTGATTATAGGGAGTTAAATAAGGTCACCATAAAGAACAAGTACCCATTACCAAGGATTGATGACCTATTTGACTAGTTGAGAGGCACAACTGTATTTTCTAAGATTGATTTAAGGTCTGGCATATGAAGATATTCCTAAGACTGCATTTAGAACAAGATATGGACATTATGAGTTCACGGTAATGGCATTTGGATTGACGAATGCTCCAACAATCTTTATGGACTTGATGAATAGGGTGTTTCATCCATTTATAGACAAGTTTGTGGTAGTGTCAATAGATGATATACTGGTGTATTTGAAGAGTAAAGAAGAACACGTAGAACATCTAAGGGCAGTTCTGCAAACACTAGGGAAAACAAGCTTTACGCAAAGTTCTCTAAGTGTGAGTTTTGGTTGGATAAAGTAGCATTTCTAGGCCATTTTGTGTCCAAAGATGGAGTAGAAGTAGATCCCTTAAAGATCGAGGCAGTGAAAGGTTGGCCTACGTCGAAAACAGTGTCTGGCGTTAGGAGTTTCTTAGGTTTAGCAGGGTATTATAGACGTTTTGTAAAAGATTTCTCGAAGATTGCTAAACCTATGACCTCTCTAATGAAAAAGGACAAGGAGTTTAAATGGAATGACAAGTGTGAGGAAGCATTCCAACTCTTGAAACAAAAGCTGATCATAGCGCCAGTGCTTACACTGCCAAACGATAGTGGAGTTTATGATATATATTGTGACGCATCCAAGAATGG